AAGATTGGCTTATGGGGAACCGACATCAAAAGGGCCGATTATCTGCGGAGGTCCTTGAACGCACCGCATTAACGCTGTGTTTCACATTAACAGTGAAATGCATTAATAGGATCTATGTGACGAATGGATTCTGTCTCTGTTGTACTGATGAGTCATTACGACAAAGTAAACTGGGATCTGTTTGCTATCAGATCCAGTTGAACTCTGGTTGCTTGTTTTGCAGCCGTGGTTACAGCCCATGCGTCCTTGTCAGGGAGATGTCAGCAGCATCGCGCTCTGCAGATGAGCTTCTGCAAACTGTCACAAGTTCCACAGCTTCAGTGTGACATCACTAAAGACCAAAAAGCTGTGTTTTTGAAAGTCACTGAGCAGGATTGTGAGTGCTTAGCTGTCTGTTGTGTCCAGTAAAGCTGCCTGCAAATCCATCATTTGTTTTACTGAGGTTAAGCTAGCAAACTGCCTGTAAAGATTACTCCTCTCTGTCACAAAAAAGAACTTGATGATGAAAAAAGAATATGTTTAAGGTGATAAGCAGAGATTTAATTTGCTGCTTTTACTCAGTTTTTGTTCGCTGTTGGCCTTGACTCCCTCCATCTCTGCTCATTTTCTGCTGGCAGGCTTGTTGGGTTTAAGATCTCATTGAGGCGTATATTTGGCTGAAGAATGCTTGAAGGGGCCCTTATCCCTCACAGTGTGTTGGCTGTTAACGCGCGAGCATCACCTGATCTGATAAGATATGGTAATCTATCGTTGGCTCATCTCCAGAAAAACATACCCAGCCAATGGACAAGCACTTAAGGGAGTTGCAGGAGACAATGTCTTCATTGTCTGTGTTTTTGCTCTCCAACACTAGTAGTATTAGAGTCGTTCAAGATGAAGATGTTGATAGGTGGCTACTCTGTCTGGCCCTCAGGGTAATGACAGCCATATCAATCAATGTGAACGATTAATAAACATCATTGCAAGATGACACAAAGCTGTTTAGAATCTTTAGCTCTGCAACATATTTCTGTGAGGATCGAGTTGTTTTAACTGTCAGTCATCAATCCTCTGCACTCTTTCTTGACAATGTGTCGGTCTGTTGGTGGCCAGTGAAAATGAGAAGGAGAGGGAAGGAAAGTCGAGAGGAGAGTTGCGTTATATAATACATACAAGTTATGAACTTTTGACCACCTTAGAAAACTAGTAAAGAGATTGAGGCTCTCTGGGATATGAGACAGGCCCTTTCTTACACCCTGGGCTTCAACCACAGCCGTGTCTTAGATATAACCATTAAACAATCTTTTCTTCAGACAATAACAGAACAGTTTGTGCCTGCCATGGACAGGATTTGCAACAATTTTTGATAGAACGTTGATTATGGATTAGGAGTTAATAATTATACGGGATGGCGGAAGACAGCTTCCAAAGAGTTGGTTGGGAAGAGGCTGTGTTACTATGTTGTCTCGGTATTTCCACTGTATGACAATTCTCCTGCTGTGATTTCCAATAAATCTTCAATGTCGGACATCAGTTTAAAGCTTTTCTGTGTTTCGGTTCTTTACACCATGAGTTTAATCACAAATGGGGCCAAGCCTGCGAGCTAGTTCAGGCAGCCAACTCGAGCACCAATGATACATCACCACGTGACGCACCTCGTCCCTCTTACAACCAACCAATAACATTCTCCTAAACATGCCGCTCTATTTAAGCTGCCAGGTCTTCCTGCCTCTGCTGCCACTGCTGTGTTCACTTGCTATTGCTATGTTCATGTTCCTGCTGCTGTGTTTCATGTTGCTGCTGCTTGCCTGCCCCACCACTATTTTTTCGAATATCCAGCAGTAAGGGGGGTTGGAGTCTGTAAATGTGTTTTTTATGTAACCAACAAGACAGTGACACCACATCTCTAGGGAATCTATTCTATTTTCGCACTGGTGAATAATCACAACATTTTGATAAGATCGATGGTCTACCTTAAAACGGCATCTATTTTATTAACAGTTGACTTCCAGCCTAGCAGACCATCTTCCTGTTTTAATATTGGTACTCAGATCTGAGACTAGCTCATGCTACTTGATAAAAGGCAAAGTGAAATAATGTTAAGTGTGAAAGGAAGAAAAAAGGCAGCATTAAATAAAGTTCCAAGTACAAACGTTGTTTACTACAGACCTCTGTGGCAAAGAGACACAAACATTATCGAAAACAGGTTTTTATTCAGTTTTAATTGCAAACTCAAAACATCATACATTTGTTCACCTTCATATAAACATTGCTACAGCTCTTGCAAACAATTCAATCAGTAATTATTTCCTGTTGTTAAAATTATGATGTTATTTAAAGTCTTCCAGGCACAGTGGAACAGTACAGATTGCATCTCTGCTTCCTCTCTGTGGCTTGTGGAGTTTCAGTATCTCGGGGCCTTGTTAACACATTAGCATAAGATGGAGCTTGAGATTGACAAGTTGATGGGTGTTGTGTTGGAATAATTTCTAACACTACTCCCACCTGTGGCTTTGTGTAGTAAGAAATGAGGTTGAGCCATTTGACAGTTTTGGGACATGTTTGTGGGCCAGTGCTTCATATTGAAAGCCGTTTGGGGTCTCTGGGTGTGCCTCCTGAAAGCCCCCCTGAGCTCTTTCAGAACTTCCAACTGGGATCCAGAGCGCAACGGGGGGAGTCGAACAGGGTTTATCCAGGCATGGAAACACTCCCTGAAGGCCCCACGAGGAGCTGCACCAGTGAACTGCAGTTCTAACTTCACTCAAAAGCCCGGCTGGTTGTCTCAAGGTTGTTGCTCCCACATAATCAAAGCAAAAAAAAGAAAAGGTAGTACAGTAGAAGAGACAAATGACGCTCCAAACACCCCCTTTAATAGTTGTTGTTGTTGATAACCACCTTGTATACCCCTGATCTGTAAATAGGGTTTTAGGTTTTGCCGAGCCAGTTAAAGCTAAGAGACCCTTTCTTTGTTGTGGTTGCTTAGTAGTACTACCCTCAGCTACCTCCACATTTACAAGTCATTGCTTTTCACTACACAGACATTCTACTCAGTGGTCTGTGTAGAATCGTGTGGACATGAGCACTCAATTTAAAGCCACAGCAATGCAACAAAGAGAGAGTGGAGAGAGATCCAAACTAGCAATCTTTCTTGTTTTATCCATATAACTCTAAAACGCATTGGTAAACAGATGTTGGGGGTTTGAGGCAGTAAAATAGCCAGCATTGAAAACACAAATGTTTTTTTTCACTCAACACGAGTACTGTGTAATCGTGCAAAGAATTCTGCTTGCATCTATTCTCTTTGACTGCTTCTTCAAAACGAATACAATGTAGGTTAATTTGGGAAAAGGAACTAAATTCAACAACGGACTATGTTCAGGGGCCTCATTTATAAAGGGATATACGCTCAAAAAATGACGTACGCCAGTTTCTACGCAATGTTTGCGATTTATAAAATACTAACTTGACGGGAAAATGTGCGGTCCTCCACGCAAACTCTAACCCATGCGTACGCACTAAGCACAAAAACGGGAGAGACGAGAAACTGCGACACCATTGGCAGAAGGAAGAATGGAGAGAAATATGTGGAAATAATACCATAAATAAAATGTTACCTCTCATTTATCATATATGAAGAATTCATTTTTCAAACATTGATCAAAGCCAATCTTAAAATGATTAAACAAACGCCTGTATGCGACTCCTCAGTGCACTAAAAAACATAACTCGGAGAAATAAATAAATACGGATATGTTATTTAAAACCACCTCGAATATGTTGTGTTAATATTATGAAATGTTTTCTCATAAATGATGCGGTAAGCAGGAGGACAGAATTACGTCTAAACTGACGCCGTTTTGCATTTCTATAGGTTGTAGATACGAGCATGGTTTTATATGTTTAATACATGTTTAATCGTGTTTAATGCCGTTTGCCAAGACTTGATAAGTCGCTCGTAAAACACAGGAGGGGAGGGGGGGTTGAGATGCACAGGTTGCAGTGCGCTGCGCACAGCTGATCGACAGCTGGGACACAAACCACCAAATACAAAAAGATAATTCAAATCCAGTCGTCATGACTCCACTCCGGAGGGATTCCCCGATCATTTCTTACAGTTTCTCGTCAAGGGGGTTTCTCCTGTCTCCGGTACAAACACACTGCCTGAGGAAGGTTATGTGTATTTATTTTGTCATTAGCCTTTTTCGAACCACTTATTTATTTATTTTGGTGACGATCCGACCTCCATGCTGCTACTCTGGTTCAAACTGCATCCACCAAACAATATGATTTATCTCGACCTCCCCAAAACAAACTAAATCTGACACGACTTGAGATATTTTTTTTAGCTGTTCTGTCTTAATTTCCTGCGACCTTCTCCATGCAGTCAGTCAAAATGAACGAATGAAAGGGCGTTTCTTTGACTATTTATAGGCAAATATGGGCGTTACGTGAAGCCCGCAAAAGCTGCACCGCATTTCGAGTCGGTTGTGATTTATAAAGGGAAACCGGTGTAGGAAGTACCATACGCACTTTCCTCGCTGGTACGCAATGTTTGGTGAATCGGAAAGTGGTGGACCTATTTTTCGGATTTCTACTACGTAAGCAACCTTCCCACGTCAATCCTACGCACGGCGTTATACATGAGGCCCCTGGTCACAAGTTTTTATTAAACAGGATGATAACTAGTATATTGGACTATTTTAAGAGCTAGACTTATCCCTATTAAAGGTAGGTAAGAATGGAGAAACCAGCTTGAGTGCACTAGAATTTGAAATTACGCAGCCGAAAAAAATCTGTCCCTTCCTTCAGACTTCCTTACAGAGCCCTTCCTCCAACACACACGAGATGGAAGGCTGACAGGCAGGTAGGCCATCCAATTATCTGACCCGGGCCAGGCAGATAATTGGTCGTGCTTTTTACAGCGCCACGGCTTCCACAGATGAAATATTTGTATATATTTATTGTCAAAGCATTTCATTTATTCATTGCTATCGGGATGTTAAGAGCATTCCATGGAATATAACAAAAAGTGTTTCTGAGGTGAATAACCTACCCCACCTTTAAGGGATGTGAGTATTTGCGTGGGTTCATGGAAATAGAGGAACATTTCACCCAGTGCAATTCAGTTTTCACAAAACAATTATAATAGAGCTCCAAGAATTTGTACTTTACGTAGTACAGTTATACTTCCATTTCATTAATTTTTACTTTTTCTCAATTTGATATCAGCTATGTATTAGCTGTCAATAAACAAAACTGTACTACATAATAATTTAACATTTATATGTTATTGTGTTTCCATTGGACACAAACAGTGTCGACATGGTCAGGTAGGGCATGTAAAATCAATGGATGCAGAGTCACTGTTGGAGGGTTTAATTACTTCCTGTTGGAGGGTTAGATAACTTGCACTCCCTACTACTTTGTTTGGAACAGCACTTAATGTGGCGGACCCTCCATGTGAAGACACAAAAGTAGTAGAAGTGGGCAGGGAGATGGGGAAGGGGCCGCATTGGACCAGCTGTGTCAACTCTCCTGTCCCCAGCCCAACACACACTTATCCATCCTACAGCTGAAAGCCAACCAGGCTTACCATCACAAAAGTGTGTTTGTGAAACCCTATTTATGTTTGTAAAAAAAAAAGTATTCTTTTAATTCTGTTTTCTTTGGCTAATCAGGTTTGACCCCAGAGAAACACAGTCTTTCCCAAACGCTGCTGGGATGGCAAGAGAGCAGTGAGACTGAAGATAGACAGCGGCCATCTTGTTCCACAAACACAGCAGGAACTGTGGCACAAGACTCATCATTTAGCCATGTGAGCGCAAACATGGCCTCTAGTTTCTCCACAGCGTCTAAAAGGCCTCTAAGCGCCATGGACCAGGCTAACACTGTGATGAAGTCCCCCTACCCTGGAGCAGAGGACCGCTGCGGCAGTTTGTTGTTGTCTCAATCGATGAACTATGAGCCATCCAGTGAAGACATGTTTGGAGGTAAGGCAGCCTACAGCCTTTCTGATTTTAACACCCCCCTGGCTGCCATGGACTCCCAGCAACAGCACATCCAGCATCCTTGGTCTGGAGTCCGAACAATGGACAACTTCTCCAGTCCGAACCACCTTCATCAAGCATCTGGCAATCAGAAGCAGGAGACTGGATCAGCACCGCCAGACCTGCCCTATGCCTGCACCTTCTGCACACGCCGCTATGCCCACCAGTGCCAGCTGCGCATCCACGAGCGCGTCCACACGGGGGACAAACCGTTTCGCTGCGTCCAGTGTGGGAAGAGCTTCGGCCAGGTGTGCAGCCTCAAGCGCCACCAGATGGTCCACACGGGGGAGAGGCCCTTCCCCTGCCCCCACTGCGGGAAGCAGTTCTCCACCTCCACCAACCTGAAGGTCCACCAGAGCGTCCACACCGGGGAGAAGAGGTTCCACTGCTCCAAGTGTGGCAAGAACTTCTCCTTCCTCAGCAACCTCATCCGACACCAGGCTCTGCACAGCGATAGGGTATGAAGGTCTAGAATAACATGAACAGTATTATTACATTGACATATTATTTTATGACATAGTGGATAGATGAGATATGTCTTTTTCAACAGCCTTTAGTCATAATGTCCTTTAACATTTCACATTAAGTGCCATTTCCTGTTTGATGTCCGTGCTGTTTGGAAGTACTCGTTTAAGCATCTGCTCATTCAAAACATCTCTGAAACATGATTTGATGAAGACGCAGTGATGTACGTGATTATTTGATCACATCTGATAATGGTGTGTTGACGACATTTAAAGGGGCCCTATTTTGGGGTTCTCCCTTTCCTGTATAGTGTGTTACACTACAGCAGTGGTTCTCAAATGGGGGTACGCGGACCCCTAGGGGTACGTTGCAGTACTACAGTGGGTACGTGAGATTTATTTTATGTTAATGACAAAAACAACATAAGTAATGCATTTAAACAAACTACTAATAGTAACTACTTTATTCAAAGGTTGACTACAGGCCGCGCGTGTGTGTGTGTGTGTGTGTGTGTGTGTGTGTGTGTGTGTGTGTGTGTGTGTGTGTGTGTGTGTGTGTGTGTGTGTGTGTGTGTGTGTGTGTGTGTGTGTGTGTGTGTGTGTGTGTGTGTCCTAGAAAGTTGTTATGGCTCTTTTTTTTGATTGTTTGGCTTTGAGTCAGGAGGATTTGTGTTGTTACTTGATGATATTAATATAATCTATCTCAGTCAAATTTTGAAATTCTAAAGGTGTGTCACTACCTGCCTTACCTCTATGTATCATACTCTTTGATACAGGTCTGGATACACCTTACTGTGTGGGTTGTATTCCTTAACCAGTTAAGTCCTGAGCCTGTTTTCCAGGACTCAGGCTCGAAAATGACATTCCCAGAACAAATGATCGTACAGTAGATTTTTGTGCAGAGGCTAGCATCCCTAGCATCCCTGTGTTCCCTCCAGAGGGAGTTTCTCTCCCACACACCCCACCTGCCTAGAACGCATCCATTGTTTTATTTCGTATAGGCTTCGCCCTCTAAGGCTATCGCTATTGGGTAATCCCCTGCGCACCCGAGCAGCACTGAAAACACTTGTTGTCCATGCCCACCTGCAAGGTGGGCCCCACCTTCGGACTCACTTCCGGTATAAATAGGAAGGATGCCCGACAATCTGCTCCCTCTTTTCTTCAGCACCCTGGTACTGAAGCACTGTAGAGACACTAAAGAGTAAAGGCTCTTTTAAGAGCCACCTCGAAAAAGATCCTTAAACATGAGTACACAGGGTTGTGTTAGAGTTTGCTCCTCATGCCAGACGGGGTTCATAATGAGCTACGACCGGCACTCACGATGCAAATCCTGTTCACCTTGTGCCCCTGTGTTTTCTCCTCCCTCCTCACCTGTCTCTTGTTTCTTTGATTAGTCTTGTGTGTATTTAAGTTCTGGATTTTCTGTCTGTCATTGTTAGTTCCTTGTTTGTCTATGACTGTGTTCACGGGGTAGTGTTATGTTTGTTCTAGTTTAGCCTTGAAGTAAAGGTATTATCTGTGAAATCTGCATTTGGGTCCTGCCTGCTTCACTCACCCTAACACAACCAAGGTATCTCCCATTGTTGAAAAAGAGTATAATAGGGGACCTTTCATATTTGAATGTTTCAAAAACTGCATTTAAATAACTTCAAATCTATTCTAGCATAATAAATGAAATGTATCAGTAACAGTAAAAGTTCAAAATGACCCATAATATTGTCCAGGATAAAAATAGACAACAGGTATTGTTGCCACAGCACTAATTATCCAGTACACAGGGACCGAAAGTGTCAGTGTGGGATTTATAAAAAACGACTATCATTGATGATAATGTAAAACTAGATTTTGTAAACCTTTTATCCACCGAAAAGAATGACACAGCTGTCTGTGAAGTGATGCTGTAACAAGCTGACGTCATCAGGGGGCGACTCTCGCACCTCCAGAGCCACAACATTCAACATAACAGCAGGCAGACAGAAACACTCAGAACTAATATTATATCATACACCAGCGCGACAAGCGCGTGCATCTGTTGACGCCCGTGCACCACAGCAGCCGCCAGCCGCGCGCGACTGT